AGTATGACTAGGACTTTTTCCTAGTTACTGAGGGTCAGATACCTACCGGGAATATGTCATAACAAATAAAGGAAATTTTTCAAATTATCATCAAATTTTTTCATCCACCAAGATTTTACTAGAAAGCAAAAAGAATGAAGGAAACATACAAAAAGAAAAAAATCAACAATTGAATTATTTATTCAAAAAATGCTTATATCCATCTGTTACATGCCAAATGCTGTGTAAATACTAAGGATACAGAAAAGAAGACACAGCTCAGGTGCTCAAAGAGTTAAGAGTCCAGTGAGGGAGATAGTAGAGTAAGTCAACAACCAAAAAGACCAAAGACTGAAGTTCATTAAGTCTTCTCAAGAAAGTGATACTCAGGTGTGTAATGTACCCAGAATTAGTTTTGAGTTAGAAGCTACCAAATCTTTAGAGACAGAACTCTGGGTAATCAGAGTATATAGACTTTGCACAACATGAAATTTGCTTTTAGAATAGAATTTAAGTTTTAAAAAATAACATTTACCATTTATTGAGAAAATACTGAGGCTTTGCATTAAGAGATTTAGTGTCTCCAACTTAGAAAAATCCAATTGGGCAGTAGTTACAAATGCAAAAATGTCTGGGATAGGAGCTATATCTAAAAAAAAAGATACCTGAAGAGGGAATATTTTCCCCATAAACTTTTTGTGTGAATATTCACAAATCCACTAGTCATGTTTTCCTTGAAAATGCAGGTTATTCCTTCATAGTTCTGTATCTGAACTAATATGCTATGCAACTTTTAGTGTAAAAAAGTCTCCGTCTTTGAAAATGTAGGATATGCATTGTATTGTGGAATTTGAAAATGGAATATATTTTATTCAAGTTTATTTTTCCACTTTGAGAATCTTTTCTGCTATTTCTTGCATGAATATTTCTATTTTCATTGACAAATGAAAATGTTCTTTCTTGTGAGAATCCTCAAATTATTTTTTGAGTAACTCTCAAATTACTACCCAATTTTCCCAACTATTTCAATCAAGTGAGCTCCAAGAAAAGGATCATGGTAGTCTGAACACAAGATACCAGAACAAACCCTTCTGATTATTCTTTAGAGGCCTCTCCACACCTCTCCACCCTGCTCTCTGTCCTGAGACCTGTATGGGCTATCAGTCTATAAATTAAAAAGTATTTTCACAAGATTATCTAATTTGGTCCTTACAAAACTCTCTTTTTACAAATAGGAACTTGAGGCTCAGGAACATGAAATGACATGAGAGGGCCCAGCCTCCAGCCTGGTTTTCCCATGATAAGCCTTGTTCTTTTCCTCTCATGCACTGCTTCCCAGAACTGGACTCTGATCCAGTTGGGCTGCCCCATCATCAGGAATTCCACACTAGAGACACACTGCTCTTCGGAGCCCCTGGAAATGCTGCGGGGTGGTGAGGACATGGGTGGCGAGGACTCGTCTCCCTTGACTTATCTTCTCCTCCCATCTGAACACCCAGCTCCGTGCTGGAGGGTCAAAGGCATTGAAAAAAAAAAGTGCCTGTAGAATTCACGTAAATGTTTTAGTTTCCTTCTGCCTGTCATATTCATCACCTACTTCATTCTGATCCCCCTTTAGTAATAATAATAATAATAATTACTAAGGTCACCACTATCTATTGAGGACCTAATACTTGTTTCTTTGCCCAATTTTTGCTAATTAATATGTCACTTATCCTCACAACCTTCCAGCAAAATGATTCTTAATAACCCTACTTTATAAATAAGGGAACTGGAGTTTTGAGAGAAGATACCGCCCCCTCCCCCCCAGGTAGTTGCAACAACACCTGCTGCAGGTTCATTTCTTCCAGCAGCATCTACATTTGTTAAGTACTTATTCGTGCCTGAAAGTATACTAGATTCTGTTCAAATAGAATAAAACTTAGAATTTTAAAATTGCAGGAGCAATGAACTCATATTTAAGAAGCACTTTAATTCTTGGTTTTGCCCCAGGTATTAGAGGGGCTGTCTTCTCCTGTCTCCTGTCTTCTCCTCTCTTTCTGGACATGCTGCTTATTCCTCAAAGTCCAGGTCTCTCACCACCTGCCCTGCTTGTACTAAATCATCTCATCACACTTTTCTTGTACCTCTGCTTTGCTTGTTTCTCACTTGGAATGTATTGGATTAGTGGTTCACATCCCTGTCCTCACACGTGGATTGTGAGAGCTCTGTTTTTTTCATGTTTGTCTGCTTGCTTAGAGCACTGTTTGTATGTCATAGAACTTGTTAAATGGTCACATAGTTTAATTTTCTTAGTACACATTTAAAATGTTCATGGAGTAGTGTATATAATAAGCAGAGTTATCCAAAAATATGGATATACAAAGTGCTTTATGGTCTTCCTTAAACTTAGGGTAAACGTACCTCTTTTTTGTTACTAATTCAGATATTCAGATACCAAATCAGATATTCTCAGGCAACACTTCGTTTTAATCTTCATGTTCTGGTTATGTAGTGGGAGTTTATTGATACTATTACAATTTTCGATATATGATAATAGAGCAATGGGAATGGACTATATATCCACATATCTTCTGCCTTTCTCTTTATGACCCTGTATCTCTCAATCCTTTGGTCCTCAAATTAAAAACAATTTTATTTTAATCTGTGACCGTATACCACTTTAAGCATAATTCTCTTTCTGGAGAAAAGCTAAGCTGTGATGTGGTCCTTCTGTAGATGAAAAGCCATCCTACACTCTTTTTTTGTATTTTCAAATGTAGGAAGTTGAATGCAGAAAACTAAAAAAAAAAGTTATGTGCAAGAATAATTTCTTGGCATATTGCATTTTCATTTGATTGAAGCTGAGGTGATCCAGGTTGACTACATTAAACCAGAACTAATAGTTCCAAATAAATTTGGTTAACATGTTAAAAGTAATTTGGGAGCAACTTATAGCACCAGCCAGGCTATGGTACAATCATTTTGGTTCTGATTTTAATTGACTAACCCAGGCACACATGGTGTATGAGTAGTGATTTAGTTTCTGTACCATGGCAAGATTTAGTTATTGTTTACAAATTTCTACTTTTACCAACAGGATTAGACACAGGGTTTATCAATTTCAATTTCACATATGATGGCCAAATACTACTTTTAATCTCCTTCTGTCAGTGCTGAACCCTGTCTTTAGATTAATCTTTTAAGTTACATCGATTTAGGCATTTTCTAGTTAGAACGCAATTGTGATAGCCATAACAATAGCTGCTAATGCTTACCGAGTATTATAGTACTTTATAAGATTGGTACTCTTATAGTGCTCAGGTGGAGACCCTGAAGCTTAGAGAAGTGGAGACACTTGCTGTAGTTTATACAACCAGCAAAGGCAGAGGAACTTACAACCCCAGATCTGATTTCAAAATCTGGAGTTTTAGCCACCACACAATTTTGCCTTAGTGTGTATGTTGGAGTGTGGTTGCTGTTTTCTATCATGTGTCCCTCTCTCTGCAACTCTGGGGAGGATTGTGGGAGGCCACCCACCTGTACTAAACACCACTGTTAAGATTCTCTACATGATAGTATTTTTATAACCACTTTGTTCCAGAAGTAATAGTAAGGACCCAACTATTTACCTCCACTTTGTTGAATTCTGTCTGTATGTACCCTGACCAAAGGACATTTTGGCTAGAGGACAGAATTTATTCAGAACAATCATCACCAATAAAGCAATCCAAAATTGTATTACCAGTAAAGATATTTTAGTAGAAAAAAGTGGCAGGTCTGCATAAACTGTAAAGGACTAACTTCCTGCTGTGATGTGAATGTTCATGGTAATACTGAAGAGGAGAAAAGAAGTTGGGGTGAGAGAGACAAAATACCAGAAGGCAGATAAAATTGCTTCTAACCATAGTGTCGCATAGTATGTAATTTAAGTACCTTAAAATAGGGAGAGTAGCTGGATTTATCCAGGTGGGCCTACTTTAAGTCGTATGAACCCCTAAAAACAAACACCTTTCTCCCTCTCTCCGAGGGAAAGCCAGAGATTCCATGCATGAGAGGGAATCCATGTGCCGTTGTTGGCTTGGAGATGAAGGTGCCACATGTCAGGGAAGCAGGGGCCTCAGTTCTACAACCACAAGGAACTGGATTCTGCCAATGACCTGAATGAGCTTGGAAGCAGAATTCGCCTCCAGAGAAGAGCCTGGCCCAGCCCACACCTTGAGTTCAGCTTGTAGGGCCCTGAGCAGAGGACTCAGCTGAACCACGCAGTGCCTAGATTTCTGACCCACAGAATTGGGAGGCAATAAATGAGTTTTGTTTTAAGTGGTTAAGTTTGTGATAATTTATTATGGCAGCAGTAGAAAACTAACGTAGCATATAATTGATCATTTTTTTATATGACTGCTGTACGAATTTTCAAGAGAAAAATATTATTTGTTCTGAATAGTGAATGTTACTTTAGAATATTTATCATGCCAGGTAATTAGGTGATTGGTGAGATGCAAAGGGATATATGGCAGAATTTCTTGTTAATCACATTAAACACTGTTGCAAAATCAGTTTTTTTAATACAAAGTCCCTCTGTTTCAGGGCTGGCTGCCTGGTCAGTCCTAGTTTAAATCCAGAAGCGTATATGGCTTCTTTTCCTCAGGATCCCACTTTAATGGGAAAATCCAGTCTATTATAGACACCAGAGAATTAAATTATCTTCTTCAGGTCTAACTACTGAATAAATACTATATATCAACAATTACAATAAAACATTTATTTTGCAAGGTAATAATAGTGAGTTTCTGAAAAAAGATGTAGTGAAGACTAGCTGGATGTAATCCATTGGCTTGTCCATGGTCAATGGATTTGTGCTTCACTGTATATAACAGCATTTCATGGTGTTACAGGTAACTAGTTCTAAGGGAAATTAGTAAGGAGTATGTTGGGGGGGGAAGTAGATATTGAGCTCAAAATTGAATATGAATTTGCAATTTGAAAAATTAAATCAGAGATGTGGGGAGTTTTATTTCCCCTTTTCCTTTGTGTTGCAGATTAACCTTAAAGATATTGGTGACATCTATAAAATACGTATTGGACATGACAACAGCGGAAAGGATCCCGGGTGGTATCTGGAAGAAATTAGACTCGAAAATATAGACACACGTGAGCTGTTTTGTCTACCTGTTGATTCCTGGATAGCTGAGAATGAACATGGTGGAGATATATGGAAAGAGATGCCCGTTGTGAGAACTAATAAAGCACCTTTGCCAGGTATCGAATTTCATTTCCTTGTGATGTGTATTAAAAATAAAAATGATTGAGATGATTTAGAACAGAGGTCAGCAGCCTTCTTCTGTAAAGGACCAGACACTAAATATCCTACGCTTTGTGGGTCATCAAGTCTCTCGAAACTGCTCAACTTGGCCTGTGTCATGAGGCAGCTGCTGGAGATAATATATAAACTAATGGCACGACTGTGTTTCAGTAAAACTTTGTTTGTGGACACTGAAACTGGAATTTCACATAAATTTCATTTGTCAAGAAACAGTATTCAGCTTTTGACTTTTTTAACCTTTAAGAAAAGTAAAATGCATTCTTTGCTCCTGGACTGTACGAAAACAGGTGCTACAGATTTGGCCCACAGCCTTAGTTTGCTTACTCCTGATTTCGAATATTAGGCTTTAGGATTAACACTTGTATAGCTGTTCAAAAGTGAAAATGTATATACAGAGATGTTTGCATGTCATCAATTCATCTTTCTGTGAACTGTTTTGCTAGCCGTTTAGATGTGACTTTCTTCTTGGCTACACTATGCTAGCGAGTGTCAGCAGTCATGAACTTAGGTGCACCTACCTTCCCTTACTGAAGTTTTTGTTTTCACTTTTTGCCAAAAAGTGAACTCACATTTGCCTTAATTTTCTCTCCATCCATTCCCTGTATCTCTGATAACCACCTTTGTTTTTTGCCTCCGCTGCTGTAGTGAAAATGTTCTCTGTCAGTGGATACCAGTGGCCTCTTTCTTCCAGATGAAATAACTGAGTGTGTGTGTGTGCACGTGTGTGTGTTCTCAGTGTCCTAGATCTCTCTACTGTGTTTCACACTGTCAATCCCTCATTTGAAAAGGCAGAGATTTCTAGAGGCTCTGGAACCAGACACACTGGTTAGACTTGGCTTGGCAATGTGTTTAGCTGGTGTCCCCCAGGGCAAGCTACTTAGCCTCCCTTAGCCAACATTGTCTCATCTATAAAACAGGAATAAAAATAGTGCCTATGACATAGGATTGTTTTGAGAACATGAGATAATGCACTTAGTCTTTAGGATAATGTGCTCACAGTACTTTGTTCCTGGCACATAGTAATCACGCGATAAATACTAACTGTTCCCGTCATTATTCGTGTCTCCAACCCTGACCTCCATCACATGATGCCAACCTAGTTCTTCACTGTTTCCTCCAGTTTTTCTCTTTCTATCACTGGCTCCACATGGTCCTCTTCCTTTGAGGATGAGGGTGTAAATGCTTGATCTTTCCCTGCCCTTCTGAGCCCCTCCCTGACTTGTATTGTTATCTCTACACGGAGGAGGAGCAGTTCTTCATCTTCAGCCCTGTCTTCTTTCTTGCTTAGAGCCCCAGTATTCCATTAGTTGATTCACTACCTCATCATCTTTAATATCGACTCATTGGTCTATTCATTCAGCCATTCCACACAAATAAAGGTAAACACATGTCTACAAATAGGTATTAGGTGCCTCGTGTGTCCAGGAGTAATGAGCATCAGAAGAAATAAAGGTGATTGAGACAGGGCTCCTGTTCCCCAGCAGCTGTTCAGTTTGCATGGCTTCAGTTATCATCTCCAGTGTCAGGACTCCCCTCTTTCTGCCCTCTCATGAGTTTCTTCTCTTCAGGTTCCCTTGGAAGGCTTCACTCCACAGCACACTGATGCTTTGAACCCACCACGTCCCAAATCGAAGTCACCATCCCTGCCCCTCCACTTCAGCCTATTTCCTTTAAACATCCACGGGGAGTCTAGTCTTTCTACACTGACTTCATATTGATTAACCTAATCTCCCAGCAGGGGCTCTATTTTACGTATTCTCAATCCCAGTCAGAATGACGCATGGCACAGAACACGTGGGCTGTGTGCCATAGAAATATTTGTTGATTAATTCAGATATAGCAAGAAAGATTTAGGATAAGACCAGCTTAATGAATGAAGAAGTATTTTATAATACTAATTCTTTATATTTGTATATAGTTTGACAGTTTGCAAAAGCATTTTATCATATAAAATCTCATTCAATACATAAAGCTCAAGATCCTAACAATTTTAGTTGTCCTACAGCCATGTGAGTGTGGCATAGTGTCCAGGGATGTCCTGAAGACTCTGAAGTGGAAAAGACAGAAGAGTCCTAAGAAATTTAGAGTCCTGCTTTCCACCCTGCGTGTCCTGGGACCTATCTATACTATTCACCCAGTTGCTAACATCTGTCCAGAATTCATTCTGCTCTTCAAAAATGGTGTACAGAAGAATTTTGAAATCCATAGTACCAATAACAAACAGAAGAAATCTTATTTGCCTGCTGTATTAGTTATTTCTCAATTTGTAGTGTTTTGAAAGGCTGCATTTATTTTAAAATGAACTTGATTTAAACTCTATTAGACAACTATTTTGTGTTTCTTCCAATTGCCTCCTGTTTGACATATCCACAATTTGTTAGATGCAAAAATAATATGGAAGGAAGTTGTATGGGTTTAGAAAAAATCAAGATAGAAAAGAAACTCCATTGTACTTTAAATGAACTATTGATTCTGGGTTCATTTAACTTGACCAGCAGTAAAGGCTCAGCGTGTTTCCTTTGCATTTCTCTGTTCATTCTTTTCCCAAACTAACTCATGAAACTTTATCCATTACCATTTCTTATTTAAAAGGCTAATATTTTAGCTGAAGCACACCAACCATTTCTTAAGGCATTTTATCCTACAAAATAATATAATGTAACACATGATACCTAGAGCTAATCGGATCCAGTCTTCTCATTTTTTCTCTGATTCTGACAAATCAATCCAGCTGTCCCTTTCCCAGATTGAATATTTGCTCATTTAGGGGAAAATCATTGAATTAAGAAAATTAAAAAATAATGACACCTCAATGATCAGGAATTAACTAGGGATCAAAATCTACTTGTAAGCAATCTGAGTCTGCTTCATATCACTCTGGAAAGTCATTCTTGGTGCCACCAAGAGGTTCACTTACTATTCCTGTGACATCAAGGGAAGCCACTGCAGATTCAAACCACTGAATTGACACCTCTCCGGTTTGGATTTAAAAAGAGGAGTAAGGAGGTGTTGACCTTCAATATTTGGGGATTGTCTGTCCATCTGTCAAAACACTCTGAAGCTGGCCCAGGAAAGAACACAGAGAATGATGTGGAGGAATTTTTTTTAAAAGGAAGCTATTAATACTTAGGGTTGCCAAGCTGGATAGAGACCCAGAGTCACACTGGAGGGTTATATATTTTTTTAATTTAATAGCACAAAAAGAGTGCTTTTCCTTGCAGTTGGCACTTACACTCTGAGCCAATTAATTTTGTGACTTTGCCTCTTCTGTTCAAAAGATTACTGGAATGGTTTTAAAAGAAAAAGATTTTTAAGACTATTAGTCTATAAATCATCACTCTTTGGGGCTGAGCTAGACTGCTGGTGGGGTGAGAGCCATCTCCTCCAGAGACTAGCACTGGCAAGTCGAGATTGTCCGCGCACACAGCCTCCGCGCCTCCTCCTGTTTGTTCACCGTCTGCCATGTTCATGGGGAGAGGCACCAGGGCTGCTGATGGCCCTCGGTCGGTTGTCCTTAAGAATCTTTAGTTAATGGCCTGGCCGGGATGCCCAGAGCTGATAAGAATGCCGACTCAGCTCACAGTGGCTTACAAGTTCTGGCTCCAGGCTTTTTTCAGGAGAGATGGATGATAATAGGAGGTTTGGGGCCACATCTGGGGATGAAGAAATGTTTGACACTAGGTTTTGGCAAGCACACGGGAGGTGTGCTTAGTGCTTTCCCTTGAATTAAGAAATAACTATATGAGAGTGTAAGAAAGTACCATCATACATGTATCTGCTTCAAAATATTTGTATTTATCAGACTTGAGTGAGAAAAGTGTCTTTATGAAACACTTACTGACAATCTACAGCAAGTTTTGGATAACAGCTGAGCTAAGATAAGTTTAAAAGAAACAAGCAAACTTTCTTGAATCCTTTAGCCTTTATCACAATACCCATGTTCGAGGGGAAAGTACGGGCTTCGACGAGACAACTGAAGCTCAGAGAAGCAGAGTCTGGCTTCAAATCCTGGTCTCAGGCACTGGCTTTGTGAATTGGGGCAAGTGACACAGGTTTTCTCAGGCTCAGTTACTTTGTCTGTGAAATGGGGCATTTAATACCTATTAGTAGAGTGATCACCATATGATTCACCATCCGAACCAGGACATTTTTGAGAGAGGAGAAAAGCTCTGTTAAGAACTGGGCCAGCCCCGTGGCTTAGTGGTTAAGTGTGCGCGCTCTGCTACTGGCGGCCCGGGTTCGGATCCCGGGTGCGCACCGACGCACCGCTTCTCCGGCCACGCTGAGGCCACGTTCCACATACAGCAACTAGAAGGATGTGCAGCTATGACATACAACTATCTACTGTGGCTTTGGGGGAAAAATAAATAAATAAATAATAATAAAAAAAAGATGGACACAAGAACAACAGATGTCAATCGAGACTATTCCAGGCAAACCAGAAATAGGTCACCCCATGGAGTTTCTGTCTGGAGTGCATGAGGATGTGAATACAGTATATGTCACATCGGAGGCACTCAGCGCACACTAAACTAATTCCTTTGTCCTCTCCTTTCAACTTGCCTTTCCCTCCAGCTTCCTTCATAGCATTTAGCTGGTGTTATGATGGAAGGCAAACGCAAACATCACCTCAGGATTAAGACAGGCTATTCTCAACTCCGCAGCCAGAATGACCCTCTTAAAATATTAATCAGATTATGCCACTCCTTTGCCTACAACTCTTCAAGGGTCTCCTACCTTACTAAGAGTAAAAGTCAACACACCCTCCTACAAGGCTGCTCACTCTCCCCCAGCTCCAGCCTCAGTGCTCCCTGATGGCACCAGGCAAGCTGTCCCCTCACCCCTCAGGCGCCTCTGCCCTACTGTCCTGTCTGCTGTCCTGTGCCTCCCCCAGGCCTCTGCATCGCCAGCTCCTTCACCTCTGCTCCAAGGGACC